TTACATGGCCATCTTCCCTACGTGCCTCTGTGTCTGTGTTTGTTCTCATAAGGACTTAAGTCATAGTGGATGAGGGCCCATCCTAATGACCTTATCTTAACTTGATTGCATCTGCAAAGAACCTATTTCCAAATAAGTTCACATTCCTAACCAGTGGTTAGGACTTAAACCTATCTTTTGTGGGGGCACAATTCAACCCGTAACAATCATTTAGTTCCTTTTGTATTGTGCCATAGCAATATAATTACTTAAAAAAATGCTTTTTCATGATGAGAGGGTAACAAAGCCCCTCGTTGCAGGAATAACGTTAAGAATTTGTAGTTCAGGGGCGCCTGGGGGACTCAGTTGGCTGAGTGGCTGCCTTTGCCTTGGGTCATGATCCTGGGGTCCTGGAATTGAGCCCTGCCCCACATTGGGCTCCCTGCTCAGCAGGGAGCCTGCTTCTTCCTCTCCCTCTCCTGCTCCCCCTGCTTGTGCTCTCTCTCAAATAAATAAAATCTTTAAAAAAAGAAAAGAATTTGTAGTTCATTAAGTGAGCCTGTAGTGATTGGATAAATTTCTTCCAGAGACCAGAAGAGTGAAGCATAGATAGCTTATAAAGATCTATGAGCTTGATAGAAAAAAAAAAAAACTAAAGGTTTTTATTTGTTAAGAATGGTGATTTATTACTCAGGTGCTATTTTGACTTAAAAAATTTTTCTTTTTTTATAAAGATTTTATTTATTTGTTTATTTGACAGAGAGAGAGAGGGAACAACAGGAGGAGTGGCAGAGGGAGAGGGAGAAACAGGCTCCCCGCTAAGCAGGGAGCCCAATGCGGGGCTCGATCCCAGGACCCCGAGATCATGACCTGAGCCGAAGGCAGATGCTTAACCAACTGAGCCACCCAGGCGCCCCTTGACTTAAAAAATTTTAATAGGTATTTATAGTGGTTAATTTTCAGTCATCAGTGACAGTTTCCTAGTTAGCCATCTTAAATAAATTTGTATTAATTTGCAGACTTTCATCACTGTCTGGTACACATATGAAACTGCTTACTTGTATTTTCGAAGATGCTATGATAACCGAAACCCATGATATTATGGAGTACGTTGTTTTTAAAAATTGTCTAAGCCAGTAATAATTGACTACCAAACAACTTTTTAAAAAAATTGTTACTCTTTGGGGCGCCTGAGTGGCTCGGTCGTTAAGCATCTGCCTTGGGCTCAGGTCATGATCCCAGGGTCCTGGGATGGAACCCCGCATCAGGCTCCCTGCTCGGCGGGAAGCCTGCTTCTCCCTCTCCCACTCCCCCTGCTTGTGTTCCCTCTCTTGCTGTGTCTCTGTCAAATAAATAAATAAAATCTTTTAAAAAATTGTTAATCTTTGTTTCAAGTAAGGCAGGGATTTATTAAAAAGCTGAATAGATTTCTGAATAGTGTTCTGATATTAAATCTCACAAAAAATACTTCTCTCTGCGTGGGATTTTTTTCTATTGCTTTAACATTAGAGGTTTTTTTGTTTTCCCCAATTAATCAGGATTTTCTTTTTCCTTCTTTTTTCTTTTTACACTGTTTAGAGAATATGCCCTTCAGAATGTAGTCATTTGATTCTTTCACTGTTTTAATAGCACACAGCTGTTTCTAAGGGCATGCATAGGGGCGCCTTAGTGGCATAGTTGGTTAAACAGGTCGTATCTCAGGGTTTTGAGATCAGTCAAGCCTGGCATCAAGGCTGCATGGGGCTCTGCACTCAGCATAGAGTCTGCTTCAAAGACTCTCTCTGCCCCACCCCCCCAATAAATAAATAAAACTTTTTTTAAAATAAATTTAAAAAGGCACCTTTAGTAGACTTACCATAAAATTAATTAGTAAGGGTCCCTGGCTGGCTCAGTCAGTAGAGCATGTGACTCTTGATCTTGGGGTCCTAAGTTTGAGCCCCACATTAGGCATAGAGATTACTTAATCAAAATAAAATAATAAATTAATAAATAGCTTTTGGAGGAATTACACATAAACTGTAGGGAAACTATGTACTTCATGATATTCTTAATTTTTATGTACATGCATACTATAGTGCTTGTGCACATTGTACAATGATAAATACCCAGGAAGTCAGGCAAAGAATGAAAGTTGGCAGCCTTACTCTTATTTGTTCTAAGTGGATATGCGAGAAATAAATAGCCTAATGAAAATAATATGATGATAAACTCTGTCAACAATAAATACCACAACTTTCTCCTAAAGTGTAGTCAGTGATCCTGAAATAATCCCACTGAAGGTCTAAAATCTTTGTATAAAAGTGCACAAATCTGTCCTGTGTGTAAAAATCTTTTAATCTATATGTATTTTGTATTCAAAACAATTTACACTACTTGAATACATTAAAAGAGTTCAAAAGCACACTAATGTAAGTGTAGACACACAACAAAAGGAATGCTTTGCAATGAGAGAGGGAATGAAGATAAGAATTAAAGGAGAGTTTCCTTTATTACCAGAGTCAGTGCAATTAACTGCACTTCATAACAAATTATACTTCTTTGGAACTAGTTTATAAATATGTAAGCCATAAGATGAACAAAGTGAATGTTAAAAACACAGAATTTCATAATTCAGGAACATAGCTTCAGTGCTTCATAATATGGAAAGAAGCTTCTAAAAACAGCCAATTGGTTTGCTTTCTTAGAAGTTAGAAAAAAATGCATTTCAGAAAATGATTAGGAACAGAAGAACATTAAAATATTGAGAACATAAGAACTGAGGTCCTCAGAGTATCAAGAGATAAGAATTAGACTTCATATTAGGGAATTTAAAGAATGTAGTTGAAAGAAATATTAGTGGTTAAATATTTAACCACTTCAAATAGAAGTGATTTTGTCCTCTCACCTACTTCTGTTTTCTTTTTTTTTTTTTAAGATTTTATTTATTTGACAGAGACACAGCGAGAGAGAGAGAGAGAGAGAGAGAGAGAGAGAGAGAGAGAGAACATAAGCAGGGGGAGTGGGAAAGGGAGAAGCAGGCTTCCCGCTGAGCAGAGAGCCCGATGTGGGGCTCCATCCCAGGACCCTGAGATCATGACCTGAGCCGAAAGCAGACGCTTAACGACTGAGCCACCCAGGCGCCCCTCTCACCTACTTCTGAAAATGTATAGTAACATCTACTTTTCTGTATAAATAGCACATAATTTCATTAGCAAAGCTCCCTTTGTTTTAGCCTTAAAATCGCCTCTGATCCAGGGCTCTTGACTGGCACAGTTGGTGAAACATGTGACTCTTGATTGCAGAGTTGTGAGTTCAAGCCCCATGTTTGGCGTAGTGTTTACTTAAAATTTTTTTTAATTAAAAATCACCTCTGATCACCAGTTTATACTAAAATTGCCAAACTAGCATTTAAACAGCTTTATCAAGATATATCTCACCTACCGTAAAATTAATTTTAAAGTGTACAGTTCTGTTGCTTTTAGTATATTCACATTTGTGCAACCATCACGACAGCCTAATTTAGAATATTTTCATTACTCTGAAAAGAAACCCAGTAGCCATTTGCAGTCACTCCGTATTCCCCTCCTGCCCCAGCTATGGGCAATCACTAATCTACTTTCTGTTTCTATTTATTTTAATAACATTTTAAATTTGCAACGCTATTGTTCTCATGCCTGTTCCAGGTCATTGACTCAGAGGTTTAAAAGTTCTTCGACTAGCCATATTTACAAGTCCTGTGACATCTTTATTCAGAAAACATTCAAATGATGATTTCATAATGATGGTTCCATAATCTTAAGAGTTTTTGATCTGGTACCTGTGTTTCAAATTCTGTTCGTGCCACTTGCTAGGGATGTTAAACTCAATTAGAAGGAATGAAACCATTTTGTCCAGACTCGAAACGAAGTTTGTTCTATGTGTGTTAACCATTCCAGGCTTTCTGGTAGTGAGAACAGCTTTAGGAATCTTCTGTAGCATACCATTATCTTCAGTAATAATGTCGTCTTCATCCTTTGGTCAACGTATGGTTTAATTTGCTGTGGATGGCCAAGAAGGCTATTATTATCAGTAGATTTGCTAGAGCTGCCAAAGTCCTATTCTTCCTAAAGTTATTCTGGTTTACTTGTCTCACTGTTACGATGAGATTGCAACTGTTTACAGTCATCCTATTACTTGATCAAAACTCTATTCTGAAACTTCTGTGCCATTAACTTCTAAAACTTCGTCATTGATATCCAGTAACCTTGTGCTGTGAACCTGATCTGGAAGAAGCCAGGATGTTAAAGATCCCTGGGACTTATCTAAGCCATGTGGTGTCTCCCTTGGGCTTTCTGAAACCATCCTGGCTATAGAGTCCTAGAGAATGTTCAGTGCTGTGTTTGTAAAGATAAACTAACCCTATGATGTGTTTCTGGGAGAATATTTGTGTCTGTAATAGAAGATGCAGGTCTAACGTCTTGGGGCATACCAGTGACTGGATGTGGCTTTTTTCGGTGGTTGGCAGAACACAAAGCATTGACTAAAACATTTTCCTTCTTCATTAGCATGTCTGTACCAAAAGCACTGTTATCTGCCTCTCCCTTCTTTTGTATAAAAATCCTAAGTAGTGGGTTGTCTGTTGAAACACCCTTGTGATAATTATCAGGTAGTAAGTCTCCCTGGAAATCTGCATGGCCTAATAAATTGTCAACATTAGGTATTTTATGAACATGTTGTAGTAATCCATAAAACTCAAAATGTCCAAGTTTTGCTCTTTCTAGCAAAAAAACAATGAAATTCATTGTCAGACATACTCTTCACCTCCAGGATGCCCTGGCAGCCACAGTCCAGCTGAGTGCCGGGCTGCCTCTGTGGAGTGCTAGGTGGGCGCATGTGCACACTCAGCCGCAAGCCAAGAATCCACAGCTCACCAAATGCACCTGTAGAGTCAGCTTGGATCTCAGTGCTCGGCTCCACTGAGCTCCACAGGGCTTCACAGGACAGCAAGGACTGGTCTGGCAGTGCAGCTGGTAGAGGCACAATTCCCTCCCTCCTCTCTGCAGGGCTCCAGTGGAGGAGGTTGAGGGGGCAGTTAGCCCATCCACCTCCTTGCTTTCATCCACCTCCCCCATGACTGGGCTCCTGACCTGGGCCTGGGCTCCTGATCCAGGCCAACAGCACCGACCTGAGAGACTGTAAGTGAAAATATTAAAGACATTTGGGGGGGGGGAAGAAAGACATTCTGGAGAAAAGGATCACCTGTACTCCTGCCACCCTAACCTAATTTACCCACTTAATAAAAGTTGCCTTACAATAAAAAAGGGGGGGTGCCTGGCTGGCTCGGTTGGCGGAGCATGTGACTCTTGATCTCGGGGTCATGAGTTCAAGCCCATGTTTTGGGGTAGAGTTTTCTTTAAAAAAATTACCTTACAAGTCTTATCCAGGGACACCTGGGTGGATAAGTTGGTTAAGCATCTGCCTTCGGGTCGGGTCATGATCTCAGGGTCCTGGAATCAAGCCCAACATCAGGCTCCCTGCTTGGTGGGGAGCCTGCTTCTCCCTCTCTCTCTGTCCCTGCTCGTGTGCACATGTGTGCACTCTTTCTCTCTGTCAAATAAATAAAATAAAAATCTTTTAAAAAAACCACAAGTCTTGGGGGCGCCTGGGTGGCTCAGAGGGTTAAGCATCTGCCTTCAGCTCAGGTCATGATCCTGGGATCCTGGGATCGAGTCCTGCATCGGGCTCCCTGCTCCTTAGGGAGCCTGCTTCTCCCTCTGCCTCTCTCTGTGTGTCTTTCATGAATAAATAAATCTTTTAAAAAACAAAAACAAGGGCGCCTGGGTGGCTCAGTCGTTGGGCGTCTGCCTTCGGCTCGGGTCATGATCCCAGGATCCTGGGATCGAGTCCTGCATCATGCTCCCTGCTCAGCGGGAGGCCTGCTTCTCCCTCTCCCACTCACCCTGCTTGTGTTCCTGCTCTCACTGTCTCTCTCTGTCAAATAAATAAATAAAATCTTTAAAACATAAAAATAAAATAAAATAAAAAACAAAAACAAGTCTTATCCATAAGTATATGTTTTCATGCAGTGGCAGTCTAATGTATATCTTACTTTATGTCCTTTTCCCCATTAAAATAACCTTTTTTCTATATATTTGACAACCTCAGTAATAAAAGCCTAGGAGAAGTAGAAACTTTTGTATTGTGTGCAGATACTAGTAGGTGGGTTTTATGTGGCTATCTTTACTCAGTTGACTATGTTAAATATATATGTGTGCTGTGTATGTACATGTAAGTGTATTTTTTTGGTATGTGTATATTTTAAACACAACATCTCACGATCTTGAAATTTTCCATGCATGTGGCACTGCTTGCTGATTCTTTCTGTGCCACTGTTGGCTTCCATAGTACCATTTTTCCCAACCACCGTTCCGGTCAAGATTACTGACTGCCTAGCCCCTTTAATTACAGAGCTTTCTTTGACATCTTTCTCTGTGTGCCTTCTTACCTTTCTGCTTTCCCAATACAGAGCGTGCGTGTGCTTTCACAAAGAAGCCTTAAATGATCTCAGCATACTTTATTGCACTTAGACCTTTTCACATCCAAAGCTTTTTATCACCCTTCTCCAATATCCGTACCCCGTTTTCTTCTCTATTCACAATTCCTGTGCTCCGCATATACTTATTTTCTAAATATCCTCTCTCTTACCTTCATTTCACTTAAATCCTTTATAAATAAAATCCTCTCTCTCATCCCTTTCTTTTGGTGCCTTCCGCCAGTCCCAAGGTTTCTATCTGTTGTCAGTCATTTTTCTCCCTTTCACCCTTAACCTCTCTGGTAATTCTGCTTTCGCACCCTTCAACAAAAGCTCACACTCTGATAATGTATATGTAGTGTTCAGTTGGGTGCTTCTGAATAAATACCTGCTTTTCAAAACAGTGAAATCTAAACCATTAGCATGGAAATAACCCCTGGGAAGATGAGGTCTCCACCTGAAAGCTTCAAATAGAGATTCTCCTGCTATTATTGATACTATGTAATACCTGAAATGGGGTGACTACTTGAACCATACAAATATCTGCTTTTGCAAAATGAGAATAGATCCTTGATTTTATACTTCTGTCTATTTTGATCTGAGAAATAAAACTTAGCACTTCAGAGAAGGTAATTTTCATATGCTTTGGATTGTATTGAGCATTAATTCTTCAGGGTCATTATAGACTTAGAAATGTTTTGTCCTGTCCTACTCTATGCCCAAGTGCCTTCTCATGATGGGAGAAATCTACAAGGCACCCCCAATCCATTCTGCCCTGCTGTTGATTGTTGTAACTGTTCCTCTTTGTATTGGGTTAAAATCTACTGGCTATAATTATATTCATTGACTTGACTTCTGTCCTCAGGCTACACTGAATTTGGATCCCTTTCCTGTATAACAGCTTTTTAGATAGCTAATGGTAATTACTCTTTCCTCTACAGCCCTCTCCCCACACTTTTTTTCCCTTTGAGATAAACACTCGCAGCTCTTCTACCTGTTCCTCATTGGACACCATTTTCATCATCCCAATTGCTCTCTATAGATATGACACTTTGTTAATGTTCCTCTGAAGTGTTTTCAGTACTGAAAATAATATTCAATGTGTAGTTGAATTGGATCGGGACCTTGTACATCTGGACATTAATGCAGCCTGGAGTTGCTTTAAGTTTCTTTTTTAGTAGCCATGTAATGTTGGCTCATAATGAACTTTTTTAAAAATAAGCTCTGTGCCCAACATGGGGCTTGAACACACGACCCCAAGATCAAGAGTCTCATGCTCTACCAACTGAGCCAGCCCCTCATAATGGAATTTTTAATTAACTAAAATCCCAAGATTTTAATCTAGAGGTTTGCCTTCACATGACTTCTTTCCAAACCAAGTTTCCATTTTCCTTTAGTTTTGCAGCATATTTCTAAAGTCAGAACGTAATGTTTAATATCCCTATTAAATTTCATCTCAGCCTGTCAGCCAGCCTTGGTTTCTTTGAATCTTGATTTTTGTCATCCAGCTTATGCTGATTGAACAAGGGGTCTTGACGGTAGTGTCAAAATGTTTTCAGACATCTGGGAAACAATAATGAAGAGTCATGGAGTCTTATCTTCCAAAAATTGTTGTATGCAGATATATCTCAGCTCTTGTGGTATATATGAATTACTACCATTGTAAATGACAAGGCCAGGAAAGACTAAAGTTTATTGCCAGCCTGCAAGACAGAAGCCTTGCGTTGAACATTACTCCGAGATGATGTTCCAAGACCTATTGTGCCAACATAATGCCAGGGTTGCTAATTCTTCCCAAGAAATCAATTAATGCACATACAAAGTAGAGACAGAATTATTGTGACTGTCTTTTTTTTTTTCCCCAAGCATGTACTGAGCAGAGTATTAGGAATAGTGTGAGATTCTGGAGAATCAGGGTTGCCTCAGGCAACCCTGATTTATGCCTGTTGTCCCAGTGTAATTATTAGCAGCATCATTTTTCACTTTCCAAGGTGTCCAAGGCTGGAGGATAATTTATCTGGCTACCCTTCTCATAACCCAGCTAGTTCCTTTTAGTATTTTATCTGGGTTAAATGTTACACAGCTGTAATTTGGCAGCTTTGATGAGGCTGTGGTAGTACTTCTCTTCCATTTGAGCAGATTGTTTTTTGACCATGGGAAGTTGATAGCAAAAGTAACTGCAATTAAAGTCTACACATACTATTTTTCCTGAGCTACCCTCTAGAGGGCAGTAATATATACATCCTAAATGATCCGATTCCAACAAAAAATGGACTACAAGAGTCCCATTTTCATATGCATGAAAATCAGAAGCATTTGATGCTCTGAAAGGACATACTGGAACTGGGGCACCTGAGTGCCTCAGTCGTTAAGCATCTGCCTTAGGCTCAGATCATGATCCCAGGGTCCTGAGATCGAGCCCTACATCGGGCTCTTTGCTCCGCGGGAAGCCTGCTTCTCCCTCTCACACTCCCCTTGCTTGTATTCCCTCTCTTGCTGTCTCTCTCTCTCAAATAAATAAAATCTTTTTTTTTAAAAGGGACATATTGGAACCAATATTGTGAGTAAAACTCAAATACCTTTTGCTAAGCAGAAAAGTAAAGAAATATTAAAAATTTATTCATTAACATTCTGAACATACTTTTTTTTAAATTGTAAAAACTGAACTTTGATGCCCTGAATATATAATGATCCATTATAACAATTATGCAGAGTTTAAGAATCTGCATATTTTATGCTTTTGTTTTTCCTAATTAATAATTTTACATGGTTAATAATTTTAATATATTCTGTATCACATAGTTTCCACATTTATGTAAAATAAGCAATTAAAAATGAGTAGTTCTATTTCACCTGCTTAAATACTTTCCTCTAAAAAATAAAAATGCCAGGTTTTACTTTATAGCTTGAATCATATGGTAATATAGAGCTCTAGTATTTGGAATTAGAGTTTTTCTTAGAGATTGTGTAATTACTTTTATGTCATCAGTAAGTAATTTATTAGCTCCTAATATCAAAATTATATTGCCTGTGTTTCACATTTTGGATTTCCTAATGTAATGTTCTCTTTTTAGAAAAGGTGGACAAGTCCTATTTTCAAGAGAAGATGACTTTTAACAGTTTTGAAGGATCTAAAACTTGTGTACCTGCAGACATCGATAAGGATGAAGAATTTATAGAAGAGTTTAATAGATTAAAAACTTTTGCTAATTTTCCAAGTAGTAGTCCTGTTTCCGCATCAACACTAGCACGAGCTGGTTTTCTGTATACTGGTGAAGGAGACACTGTGCGGTGCTTTAGTTGTCATGCAGCAATAGATAGATGGCAATATGGAGACTCAGCAGTTGGAAGACACAGGAAAGTATCTCCAAATTGCAGATTTATCAATGGCTTTTATTTTGAAAATACTGCTGCACAACCTACAAATCCAGGTATCCAAAATGGTCAATATAAAGCGGAAAGCTACCTGGGAAACAGAAATCATTTTGTTTTAGACAGGCCATCCGAGACTCATGCAGACTATCTTTTGAGAACTGGACAGGTCGTAGATATTTCAGACACCATATACCCGAGGAACCCTGCCATGTATAGTGAAGAAGCTAGATTAAAGTCATTTCAGAACTGGCCAGACTATGCCCACTTGACCCCAAGAGAGTTAGCTAGTGCTGGACTCTACTACACAGGTATTGATGATCAAGTGCAGTGCTTTTGTTGTGGTGGAAAACTGAAAAATTGGGAACCTTGTGATCGTGCATGGTCAGAACACAGGCGACACTTTCCTAACTGCTTCTTTGTTCTGGGCCGGAATGTTAACATTCGAAGTGAATCTGATGTTGTGAGTTCTGATAGGAATTTCCCAAATTCAACAAATGTTCCAAGAAATCCAGCCATGGCAGATTATGAAGCACGGATCATTACTTTTGGGACGTGGATATACTCAGTTAACAAGGAGCAGCTTGCAAGAGCTGGATTTTATGCTTTAGGTAAACTTTCTTATAAAACCAGGCTAATAACTAAGTTTCCAACTATAGCAGTGCTCCTAAAAAGTAGATTCCTTTAGCCCCTTGAACTGGTAAATATTTAGGTGTAGGCTGGCATGATTATTTATATCAGTATTAATCTGCGAACCCTTATGTTGAATCTGCAATGTAACCGCTACATGTATGGGAGAAAGACAACCATATTGTGAGTTATGTTTACCTTTATGTGATTGTTTTTTGGAGAAGGATGACATGAAAAAGATGATAGATCTCCTTGATAGAAGAATGGGTCTGACAGTAACTCTAATTAATTGAGCACCTACTGTATGTGCTCAGTACAAGTATTACATGCATTCTTTCTATACCTCATAAAAAAGAGAACATTAAAGAGTTTAGTTTGGCTGATATTAAAATTGATCTCTGCCTTTTGTATATAGACTGTATATTTGAAAGCTGTCCTGTATGATGCCTTCTTGCTTCAAATAAGCACTTCTCAAATGGACTGCTGTAAACTTGTCAGTTTGCTGACAAGTTGCTCTAAACCGTTAGTGTGATGGCTTCCAGGTGTATTCAGGAAAGTTATACCATTATATATCTGACCCATTTATTTTAGGATTGAGTAGTGCCAAAATGCAAAATACTAGTTATTTCAATATTTTATTTACATCGTCTCCTACAGCAATCTTGAAGGCTTGTTTAGTGTCCTGTAGCTATAACCTTAGAGAAACTTACTTTGTAATTTTGTTATGCTAAGTACTGTTAAAGTTTCCCAGTTTGAAAAAGTGTAGTATTGGTGGCCCCAAATGACACATTAGAAAGAAGGTAACAATTATAATTTTTCACATAAAAATTGGGCAGTTTTATTTTCGCCTTCTGTAAAATACCTCAGATTCAATCAGTGAGTTTACTGTGTATTTCCTCTTCAAACAATCATGTCTGTTACTTAGATGTGAATTTGAATAGCTTTTAGAAATGATTAGTTTCATGGTGTTAAAGGGGGTATTTTTGCATAAGCTTCTAATTGCACAAATACATGTATTTTTGCTTGTGTCTTTTTTTAGGGGAAGGTGATAAAGTAAAATGCTTTCACTGTGGAGGAGGGCTAACTGATTGGAAGCCCAGTGAAGACCCTTGGGAACAACACGCTAAGTGGTATCCAGGGTAAGGTATTTAAATGTTTATTCAGAAACAGGCAAGTTAGACACTGCAGTGGGAAAATCTTGAATAACTTTTCACCTCAACTATTTTTGCCTTTACCATGGCTTGCAATTCACACCAGTTTTATAAAAATGGGGTCACCTACTTTATAGGAAAAAAAAGCCCTAAGCCTTCTGTGGTGACCAAAGCATTCATTGCTTATGTGTTGTATCTGTGACATTCAGATGATTCTGTTTCTAAACACCAAATTGGGAATATATAGTTTTGTTGTTGGAAGTAGGCTCTTTTCACGATGGGCACAAGAGAGCCCTTGTTGCCAAGGATTTTCCCTAAGAACCCATCACACCCCCTATCAAATAGTACTGTATCTCACTGCTTCTAAGACATACCGTTCACATCTTCAAATTTTTGAAATGAGGACACATCTGGTAGTGGGTCATAATTTAATTGGCAGTGGTGGTACATAAAATAATCACACTTCTTATAATCAGTGGCATCTTAGAATGATAATGACATACTCTGTCTCTTTGCCATCTTGCTTCTTTAAAAATAAGGTATACATATATATAAGTGCTGTAGAATTTTTGGCCTGCAAAATAGTACAACTTAAAATTTCAGAGCGATTGTTTGAAAATAAACTTTAACCTTAAAAAACCTTAAAAGGAAAGGTTGAAAGCCCAAAGAATTCCTTCAAAATGTACAGTCAGTTAATCCTCTAAATAAAATTTAACATGAACTATTTGAAAAAAATTTTAAATCTTAAGGCGATAATTTAATAACTTGCTTAAAAGTTGAAAGTTCTCAAGTTGGTATTTTTTGCCTCACTAAGATTAGCAAAGTAGCATAACAAAGGGAACTTTTTTTTTTAACTTTAAAATGACAGTTGATAGAGAATTGGATAACAGTTCATTTTGCAGCTTCTTAGAAATACCAAAAAGCAAGTTAATGGAATTAAGATCATAGAGATTATATCTTTCCTTATACTTTACTAACTTATCAGCTACCAAAGTTTAACCTTCTTTTAATTGTTTAGGTGTAAATACCTGTTAGAAGAGAAGGGACAAGAATATATAAGCAATATTCATTTAACCCATCCACCTGAGGACTCTATGGTAAGTCATGTATTGTAGAATATATATTTTTAAATATTTAATTTCTTTTGCAATGATTTCTTGGTGTAAAATTCACAGTATAGTATCTTAAATTACTAATGTATGGTGAGCTTTAAAGGGGAGATCTTGAAGAATGCTTGTTATTCTTAACCTGAAGCAAATTTATGAAAAGGGAATCACCATGTGCTGATTGATTTACCTATCACTGTAAACAGAAATGGGCTTGAAGAACTAAAATACTTAATCCCTCAGCTTTCTGAAATTAGACTTTTGTGTAATGTGTTTTATACTCATAAACAGTTGTAAACTTTTCATAGACAATATTTTAAATCTCAAAACCATGTCTAAATTGACGGTGCGGCCTGGAGTGGCCAAGGTACCACGTGGGAGTGGGAGGCCAGAGTTGCCATTATGGCCCTACCGTGAACTCTCTTGCCTCCATAAAGTTGTTTTATCTCCCTGAGCCTCAGCGTCTTGTCTATAAAGTGAATGGATTGGGTTAGATGATCTTTTAACTTCCTTCTAAGCTTCATCACGTTATGCCTCTTGCAAACCTTTGTGTGTTGAATTGGAATAAAGCCAATTTATAAATTCATGATTAGTGTAATTTTTCAAATTGAGGTAATTGCCTTCTACCAAAAAGAATTCTAACTTATAATCCATATTTCTATTTTAGGTAAGAACTGCTGAAAAAACACCATCATTAACTAAAAGAATTGGTAAATATGTTTATTAAAATAATTATACTCTTTATTTCATTGCCAATTTATTACAGTTGTTATTTATAGGGTGGAGACTAAAGCTTGTTCTTTCAAGGTAATCAAGGTATATTTATTTGAGATGAGATTGCTATAAATCTAAGAATTAATGAAGTACTTATAAATTTAATCATAATCCCTAAAAGATTTTAAATCCTATACCCATTAGCAGTCACTCCCCATTGCTGCCCCTTCACCCTCAGGTCCAGCCAGACAACTACCAATCTACTTCTGTCTCTCTGGGTTTGCCTATTCTGGACGTTTCATATGAATGGAATCATAATATGTGGCTTTGAAGTTCATCCATGTTGTGGTACTCCTATAGGAGAACTTCATTCTTTTTTTATGGTGGAAAAATTTTCCTTTGTATGGATAATACCACATTCTCTTTATCCATTCATCAGTTAGTTGATAGACATTTGGGTTTCTACTTTTTGGCCCTTATGAAGGATACTGATGCTGCTATGAACATTTGTGTGCAAATTTTTGTGTGGACATAAGTTTTTAATTCTCTTGAGTATGTATTTTGGCATGGAATTGCTGGGTCATGTAGTAACTCTACATTTCACCTTTTGATAAACGGGCCAGTTTTCCAACATGCTGCACCATTTTACATTCCCACTAGCAGTGTATAAGGTTTCCAGTTTGTTTCTCCACATCCTTGTTAATACTAGTTATTGTATGTCTTTTTTTTCTTAAGATTTTATTTATTTATTTGACAGAGAGGGAACACAAGCAGGGGGAGTGGGAGAGGGAGAGGGAGAAGCAGGCCTCCCGCAGAGCAGGGAGCCCGATGCGGGGCTCCATCCCAGGACCCTGGGGTCATGACCTGAGCCAAAGGCAGATGCTTAACGACTGAGCCACCCAGGCACCCCGTATGTATGTCCTTTTATTACAGCCATCTTAGTGGATGTAAAGTGGTATCTTATTGTGGTTTTGATTTGCATTTCCCGATGGCTAATGATGTCAGGCATCCTTTCATGTGCTTATTGGCCATTGGTATGTCTTCTTTGGAGAAATGTCCATTGCCTTTGCCCATTGTTTAGTTAGGTTATTTATCTTTTTGTTATTGAGTTATAAGAATTCTTTATATACTCTAGTTTTTTACATATACGTTCCATGTCAGGTACATGATTTGTAAATATTTTCACTTGTTCTTTTCACTTTTTTTTTTTTAAGATTTTATTTATTTATTTGACAGAGAGAGAGACAGCGCGAGAGAGAACACAAGCAGGGGGAGCGGGAGAGGGAGAAGCAGGCTTCCCGCCGAGCAGGGAGCCCGATGCGGGGCTCGATTCCAGAACCCTGGGATCATGACCCTGAGCCAAAAGCAGATGCTTAATGACTGAGCCACCCAGGCGCCCCTCTTTTCACTTTCTTGCTGGTGTACCTTTGAAGTATATAAATTTTTAATTTTGATGAAATCCAGTTTATCTTATTTTTTGTTGCTTATGCTTTTAGTATTATATCTAAGAAATCATTGCTTAATCCAAGGTCATTTATGTTTTCTTCTAAGAGTTTTATGGGGTTTTATCTCTTACATTCAGGTCTTTGATCCATTTTGAGTTAATTTTTATATATGTGTAAGGTGGGGGCCATTTTAATTATTTTTCATGTGGATATCCTGTTGTCCCTGCTTTTGGTTTTTAGCAAGATAAGCTTGAGATACCTGCGGGATATCCAAGTAGGTGGGTCTTAAAACCTGGAACTCACATAAATAAGGGTAAAATTGTGGTGGTGGGGGAAGTATCCAGAGAGATTGTTAAAAAGGAGGCGATCAGTGAGGGAATGGAAGGGAACCACCAGTGTCTAATCAGGTGAGCAGAAGGAGCCAGCGAAACAAGCTGGAAAAAAAAAAAAACAAATAGTAGAACCAGGAAAGCGTGATGTCCAGCTGACCTCTGGACATCTCCACCTAGAAATCTCAAAAAGCAGCTCAAATTCAGCATTTCTAAAAATCACTCAGACGGGGCTCCTGGGTGGCTCAGTCGTTAGGCATCTGCCTTCGGCTCAGGTCATGGTCCCAGGGTCCTGGGATCAAGCCCCGCATCAGGCTCCCTGCTCCATGGGAAGCCTGCTTCTCCCTCCCCCACTCCCCCTGCTTGTGTTCCTGCTCTCTCTGTCTCTCTCTCTGTCAAATAAATAAATAAAAATCTTTAAAAAAAAATCACTTAGACTGAATCCAGTCCTGTTCTCCCCCCCCCAAGTTGGTTAATGGCTCCACAGTTCACAAAGTCACCCAGTAATTTGAATCATTTTAAGCTCTTTGCTTTCCTTAATCCCTCTACATTTAATTAACCACCAGGTCTGATGAAGTCAACCTTTTTAATATTGTCTAAAATCCACTGGTTCTGCGCTAGTTTCTGCCCTTATTTCTCATTCAGATGCTTTAGTAGTCTTATAAATGGTCTTTTATGTGCATTATAACCTCCCAACAGAATTTTTCTTTATCAAACAGAAATCTTAATTTACTTTCCTACTTCTTTTGTTACTTACCATGTAATATTTCTTATAATCAAATCCCTTTCCGACGGCTCTTTTTAAAAAACATTTATTGAAATATAATACACATACAATAAAATGTTTAAAATAGACTAATCTTAAGTATTCAGTTCAGTGAATTTTAACATGCATTTATCTGTGTAGTCATCAGCCAAATCAAGATATAGAACAGGGGCAACTGTGTGGCTCAGTCAGTTAAGCATCTGCCTTCAGCTCAGGTCATGATCTCGGGGTCCTGGGATTGAGCCCCGCATCGGGCTCCCTGCCCAGCGGGGAGTCTGCTTCTCCCTCTCCCTCTGCCCATCCCCCTCCCGCTAGTGCTCTCTCTCAAATAAATAAAATCTTTAAGAAAAAAGATATAGAACATTTCCACCATGCCAGAAACTCCTTCAGGCCCCTTTCCCAGTCAACATCTACCCTAAGTTATGTTCTGACTTATATTACTATAGATTAGTTTTGAACATCTTATAAATACAGTCATATGGTATATTCTTTTGTCTCTGGCTCATCATTTTGATGACTCTTTTGTTCATCAGGTCTGTGAGGTTCATTATGTACTGTGGCAGTAGTTCATTTTTCTTCTGCCTGTGTAGTGTTTGAATATACCACAGTTTACTTACCCATTCACCTGGTGATAGATGTTCGAGTTGTTTCCAGTTTGAGTCTGTTACAAATGGCACTGCTATGAATATTCTTGTGCATGTCTTTGGTGGATTTTTTTTTTTTTGGTGGACCTTTGTACTTATATTTAATACTCGAGTAGAATTGATGAATCAGAGGTTGTAAATAAGTCTCCTCTTTTAGCAGTTCCCTACATAACCTGTATTTCTACTTTGAGTAACATTACAGTGAATTTCTATTCATTTGTTGCCTTATCTGGTTCACCCCCCCCTTGGCTGCAGAAACTCAGTCTCAGAGATAGGAAACTCACACATTCAAGGTCACAGACTGTGAATTCCTCCTATTTCCCATGATTTTTCCAAAATAATTGCTAGGGACTTGGGAAAGATATCTACTCAAGTACTTAGGTTAGCTGTTAATGAGTACAGCTGATTTGAAAACAGGTCAGATTTTTGAAGCACTTAACTTTTTCTTCGAATCAGCTTTACCTAATTTTTTACTATTTCTTTACTTAGTCTTTTACTATTTCTTCGGTCGTTAAAGCACCTAATCTCAGTTCATAGTGCCACAAAATAATACTGTATTTTCAATGATTGTAAGATTCTGAAAGATTCTTCAGTGCTTAAATATTTCAAAATCTTCTTCCCAAAGTAGCTTTGATTGCTGGTTTGTTTTTTGTTTTTTTCTTGCTGCTTACCTTTTTCTTTTTAACTGTACTTTGCTGTTGAGTTGTATTAATGAAAATAATTGTTTAAACTCTTGTGTTCTTTTTCCTCACCAATTTTTATTTCAGATGATGCCATCTTCCAAAATCCTATGTTACAAGAAGCTATACGAATGGGATTTAGTTTCAAGGACATTAAGAAAATAATGGAGGAGAAAATTCAGACATCTGGGAGCAACTATAAATCACTTGAGATTCTGGTTTCAGATCTAGTGAGTGCTCAGAAAGACAATACACAAGATGAATCAAGCCAGACTTCATTGCAAAAAGGTATGCATGGCTGTTTTTAAAAAGCAAGAAACACCTAACAGTACTTCATTATGGTTAGTTTCTTATATGACTTTGTGACCCATTCATTTTTTTCCTTCTCATATTCCCCTTAGGATAAACATTTTTTTTAAACTTTCTGTTAATAAAAAATTCACAAATACTCAAAAGTGGAGAAAACAGTACAGTGAACCCTCACGTACCCATAAACCAGATTCAATAATTATCAACAATTTTTCAGTCTTGTTTCATTTCTTCCCCCAACTTTTTTTGCTATGGTATTTCAAAGAAAATTCCAGGCATCCCATATATCATTTACCTATAAATACTTTATTTTTTTTTAAAGATTTTATTTATTTATTTGAGAGAGAGAGAATGAGAGAGAGAGAGCACGAGAGGGAAGAGGGTCAGAGGGAAAAGCAGACTCCCTGCTGAGCAGGGAGCCCGATGCGGGACTCGATCCCAGGACTCCAGGATCATGAACTGAGCCGAAGGCAGTTGCTTAACCAACTGAGCCACCCAGGCACCCTACCTATAAATACTTTAAATATACCTAACAGATAAGGATTTTTTTTAACATAATCTTAATACTGTTGTGTTAAGCAGTAACTTAAACTGTGCTCAGATTGCTCTAACAGAATACCATAGACTTAAACAACAGACATTTATTTCTCACATTTCTGGGGGCTGGGAAGTCCAGGATCAAGGTGCTGGCAGATGTGGTTCCTGATGAGGACTCTCTTCCAGGCTTGCACATGGCTGCCTTCTCTCTGTGTCTTCACGTGGCCAAGAGAGAGCACTCTGGTGTCTCTTCCTCTTCATATAAATACACTGATTCCATGGGACATCTGGCTGGCTCAGTCAGTAGAGTATGTGACTCTTGATCTCGGGGTCGTGAGTTTGAGCCTCACGTTGGGCATAGAGTTTATTTTTTTTAAGATTTTATTTATTTATTTGACAGAGACACAGCGAAAAAGGGAACACAAGCAGAGGGAGTGGGAGAGGGAGAAGTAGGCTTCCCGCTGAGCAGGGAGCCCGATGCAGGGCTCAATCCCAGGACCCTGAGACCATGACCTGAGCCGAAGGCAGACACTCAGTGACTGAGCCACCCAGGCGCCCCTAGAGTTTACTTTAAAAATAAATACAGGGGCACCTGGCTCAGTCGGTAGAGCATGCGACTCTTGATCTTGGGGTTGTGAGTTTGAGCCCCACATTAGGTGTAGAGATTATGTAAAAATAAAATTTTTAAAATAAATAAAAATAAAAATACATAAAGAGAAAGAAAAAAAGAAATAAAAGAGATACTGATTCCATAATGAGCACATCCCACCCTTATGACCTCATATAAATTTAATTACCTCCCAAAGGGCCCATCTGTGAGTCCCATCACATTGGTAGTTTAGGGCTTCAACATAAGAATTTTGGGGGGGATACATTTATTCCATAATATACTGTTACCACACTTAACAGAATTACCAATAATTCCATAATATCATTTGAAAATCAGTTGGTTTTAATTTTCCCCATTGTCTTAAAACATTCTTAACAGTTGATTTGTCCTAATTGGTATCCAAGTAAGACCCACTGATTTAGTAATTTAATTTTATTTTTGTAATGATTTATTTATTTATTTTAGAGAGAGTGCAGGGGGGAAGGGACAGAGGGAGAGGGAAAGAGAGAATCTCAAGCAGACTCCCCCTGAGCGTGAAGCCCTTTGCAGGGCTTGATCCCTTGATCCTCATGACCTGAGCTGAAATCAGGGGTCGGATGCTGGGGTTCCTGGTAGCTCAGTTGGTTAAGCATCCAACTCTTGGTTTCAGCTCAGGTCATGATCTCATGGGTTGTGGGATCGGGCTCCACACTCGGTGGGGAGTCTGCTTGAGGATTTTCTCCCTCTGCCCCCCACCTTCTGTCTCTCTCTAGAACAAATAAGTCTTTTTTAAAAAAGGAGAAAAGAGTCGGCCACTTAACTGACTGGGCCACCCAGGCACCCCTGATTTATTTATTTTAAGTGTGGGTTTGTGTTTTAGTTTAGATAAAGAACAATGAAAGCTTTTATGATTGTGTGTGAAATCTGTAAGTTTTGTAGTTAAAATGGATTTAGAGTGTTCTGCAACTTTTCATGTGATATAAACCTATAAAAGCACCATATTACTAAATACAGCTTGAATGAGTGGCCCCCTGGTACTGTAAATCATACAGAGAAAGTGTATTAAACTTTTTTTTAAAGATTTTATTTATTTATTTGAGAGAGAGAATGAGATAGAGAGCACGAGATGGGGGAGGGTCAGAGGGAGAAGCAGACTCCCCGCCGAGCAGGGAGCCTGATGCACGGGACTCAATCCCGGGACTCCAGGATCATGACCTGAGCCGAAGGCAGTCGCTTAACCAACTGAGCCACCCAGGCGCCCGATATTAAACTTTTTTTTTAAGTAGACTCCACGCCCAAGTCAAGGCTTGGACTCACAACCCTGAGATCAAGAGTCTCATGGTCTGTTGATTGAGCCAGCCAGGCACCCCTAAAAAGTATATTAAATAATGTGCAAGAGAAGCATATAAACTCCTTTTAGGAAAAAAAGATAAAAAATATAAGTTCCTTCTTTCAGAATGAAAGCAACTCTAGTGTTTGATGGCAACGTCGAAGGTTAAAGAAAAGGTTTCAGGGGCACCTGGGTGGCTCAGTCCTTAAGCTTCTGCCTTCGGCCCGGGTCATGATCCCGGGGTCCTGGGATCGAGCTCCGCATCAGGCTCCCTGCTCAGCGGGAAGCCTGCTTCTCCCTCTCCCACTCCCCTTGCTTGTGTTCCCTCTCTTGCTATGTCTCTCTGTGTCAAATAAATAAAATCTTTAAAAAAAAAAAAAAAGATTTCAAACTGTGACTACATTTTGGGTACTGAGGTACACTGTTATAGTCATTGTTCTCTGAGCTCTTGACCACCTCTCCCAAAGTTTGAAAATTCTCCCTGTGCTAATAAATCTAAAAGTGTACTTTTTTTTTTTTTTTTTTTTACATTAAAGACCGTTTTGGGGCACCTGGATGGCTCAGTTAGAAGAGTATGTGACTCTTAATCTCGGGGTTGAGTTCAAGCTCAACGTTGATGTAGAGCTTACTTAAAAAAAAATAAAAATTAAAAAATGAATAGACCCTTTTGATCTTTAAGTTATTTCAAATGCTTCTGAAACATTCAGATAATACATCAGTCACAAAACAGTATAACAGTGATTTTTTTTTAAAGATTTTATTTATTTGAGAGAGAGAGAGAGCACGGGAGGGAAGAGGGTCAGAGGGAGAAGCAGACTCCCTGCTGAGCAGGGAGCCCGATGCGGGACTCGATCCCAGGACTCCAGGATCATGACCTGAGCCGAAGGCAGTCGCTTAACCAACTGAGCCACCCAGGCGCCCACAACGACTCTTTTAATTCTACACAAAATAGAAGGCAGGCCTAACTGGGGTGAAGCAGGTGGAAGTTTTTAGAAAAACTACACTGTTATTGTTGCTTACTGAGAAATCCTAGATTCAGTACTAGCTTTATCCCAATGGCTGTCTGACAGAGAATAGCCCAGGAAATGGTCTTCTAAAAATAGTACCAAATAGTATCTTTCTTTTTAAAGATTACATAGCGTGCTGGGGCACCTGGGTGGCTCAGTCAGTTAAGCATCCAACTCTTGATTTCAGCTCAGGGTCGATCTCAGAGTTGTGGGATCAAGCCCTGCATCGGGCTCTATGCTCAGTGGGGACTCTGCTTGAGATTCTGTCTCCCTCTCCCTTTGCCCCTCCCCCTGCTCACACACTCTCTGTCTCTCAAATAAGTAAATAATTAAAAAAAAAAGTTGGGGGTGCCTGGGTGGCTCAGATGGTTAAGCGTCTGCCTTCAGCTCAGGTAATAATCTCCAGGTCCTGGGATCTAGTTCCACATTGAGCTCCTAGCTCAGCAGGGGAGTCTGCCTCTCCCCCCGACTCGTGCTCTCTCTCTCTCTCAAATGAACAAATAAAATCTTAAAAAAGATGGGGCGCCTGGGTGGCACAGTGGTTAAGCGTCTGACTCTTGATTTCGGCTCAGGTCATGATCTTAGGGTCATGGGATTGAGCTCCGCGTCAGGCTCTGCTCAGCGTGGAGTCTGCTTGTCCCTCTCCCTCTGTTCCTCCACCTGCTTATATACTCCCCCTCTCTCTTTCTCAAATAAATTAATTATTTAAAAAAAGAAATTAGAAGGGGAAAGGTGCCATAGTAAAGGACATAGAATCCAATAGTTACCCTAAGGCTTGAGTGAAATAAAATTGTCGGAGGTAAACTATTGGTCTCAGGAGGTAAAATCTGTGCCCAGAGCCTCACCTCACCTGTGCCCAGGCTGTACATAAGGTGGAAATAAGGTAGAAAAAGTTGATAACAGTGTTTGGTAGGCCAGACGTTTCATTCCACTGTGGTCTGTGAAATGGAATCAGAGCATCAGAACCAAAGTGAACCTGAAAGATCATATAATAACTTACATTACTTCAGTAAGAAAACTGAAGTATAGATGTGCTGTTGACAAAGATCACTCAGCTAGTTGGGAATAAAAATCAGGTTTCCTGACATGTGGTCCAGTGTTCCTCTTAATAAAATGTTTTAAGTGTACAGTTCAGTAGTGTTAAGTACATTCACAGTTGTGCAACCAGTCTCCACGGATCTTTTTATCTACAGAACTGAAACTCTGTCCCCATGAAACAACACCTCCTCATTCCCCCCCCCCCCAGCCCCTGACAATCACCATTCTGCTTTCTGTCTCTATAAACTTGACTCTTCTAGGTCCAGTGTTCGTTTTACTCATTGGAGCGTCACACCCAAAAGTCATGTGTGAATTTCTTGTTTTTCTCCTTTTTGCGGGGCATGAGCATGTACTTGATTCTGACTTTTTTGGTTAAATGCTTTCATATAATACAAATCAGTGTAGAGTTGCCAACCCTTCACTTCCGTTGTTCCCTCTGCCCCAGCTGCCTTTTCCCTGTCTGTGTACCTAGTCTCATTCCCCACTCCACCCCCAGTCCCCTAAATCCATCTTGTAAACTCATCCTTCAAGGCTCCACTTAGAGGTCATTCTTTGAAGCTTTCCCCAGGACCCACAGCAGAGTCCGGAGCTCCCTGTTCTCTACTTGTGCTGCTATGAGAGCATTTGTAACATTGTTTTAGAATGGTTTTCTGTCCTGCACATCAGACCAAGCTTCTTGAGGACAGGTGTTTTATCTTATCTCTGATTCAGTCCATGTTTGAGCTTATAGTTTTGATTATTAAACCATGAGGTTGCTTTTTAAGAAGAAAGAGATTAAATAATACTGTCCACCCCTGGTCAGGCATACTTCTCCAAAGCACACATCTCTCTCTCTCTCTCTCTCTCTCCCCCTCTCCCTCTCCAGGTTAATACCCTTTACTGGCCCCCAGGGCCCTCAGGATCAAGTCCAAACTCCTTTATGTGGGTTGCCAAATCTTTCATGACTGGGCCCCTGTAACCTTCTGTACCCTCATGTCGTGCTGTGTCCCTCCCCAGGCCTTACCCGTGCAATTACAGGCCTTGTTCTTTCTCTCCCCTTGGAGCCTGCCTATGCCATTTCCTCTGCCTGGAACATTCTTCTCCCACTGCCTCTGTTCCCTCAGGGTCCCCTCTCCATCTTTCCTAGTTAACTCCTCCTCATCCTTTAGGACCCAGTTTAAGTATAATTTCTTCCAGGAGGCCTTCTGTTTATGTGTGTGTGCACACTCACACGCTTCCTATGTTCTTCATAACACATTGTAATTACCTTTATCATTACACTCTATTATAATTTCCTGTCTACTTGTGTTTCTTACTTGTTTATGAACAGTTAGGGGCCTGGGGCCTATGTATTTGTTAATTGTTGTATTTCTAGTTCCTAGAATCTAGTTAAGTGTTCAGTAAATATTTGTTGAACAAAACTCAACAACTGTTTCCCAAACTTGTTTTCAAAACAGTGTTCCCAAGGGGACGCCTGGGTGGCTCAGATGGTTAAGTGTCTGCCTTCGGCTCAGGTCATGAACCTGGGATCCTGGGATCCAGCCCCGCATCGGGCTCCCTGCTCGGCTGGGAGCCTGCTTCTCCCTCTCCCTCTGCCTCTCCCCCTGCTTGTGCTCTGTCTCAAATGAATAAATAAAATCTTTAAAAAAAAAAAGGTGGCGCCTGCATGGCTCAGTCGTTAAGCGTCTGCCTTCGGCTCAGGTCATGATCCCAGGGTTCTGGGATCGAGCCCCACATCGGGCTCCCTGCTCCTTGGGAAGCCTGTTCTCCCTCTCCCACGCCCCCTGCCTGTGTTCCCTCTCTCGCTGTGCCTCTCTCTGTCAAATAATAAAACCTTTAAAAAAACAACAACAACAAAAAACAGTGTTCCCCAAGATGTTAAAAGGGATGCCGTGAAGAGGGAACAAAAAAAGGGGGGGGGGAGGAGCTCTGTAGTTAAACAGGGCCATGCATTGTGACTTTCTAAGAGGGGACATTGTACTGTACTGACCTGTACTTCATAGCATTGGTTCCCCAGCCTGTGTGTGCAATCCCAAAAATTGTTGTTGTTGTGTAAAACCGTATCTTCTTTATTTTGCATACTTTAATTTCAGAACAAAATTAAAAAAAAAAACCAACCCCGGAAATTTTAGATTTAGTTAATGGGGCCTAGCAATCTATCGTTAAAAAAAATGCCCCAAGTGCGCCTGAGTTGCTCAGTTAAGCGTCCAACTCTTGATTTTGACTCAGGTCATGATCTCATGGGTCCTGTGATGAAGCCCCCCGCCCCGGGAGGGGCTCCCCACTCACTGGGGAGTCTGCTTGAAGATTCTCTCCTGCTGCCCCTCCCCCCATCTCGGAAAAAGATAGATAAATCTTTTTAAAAAAAATGCCCCAACTGATTCCAATGTGAGGCCACATTTGGAAACCACTGGTCTACAAAGATTATAGATATGTAATGCCTTTAGAATAATGCCTGGCACGTAGTAATAAGTGCTGTGTTACTGTTAACTGCTGCCATTGTTGATGTTGTTGTTATTATAGTTCTTTTTTTGTGGAGCCCAACGCAGGGCTTAAACTCACAACCGTGAGATGGAGACCTGAGCTGAGATCAAGAGTCAGACACTTAACCGACTGAGCCACCCAGGCACCTCTGTCGTCATAGTTCTGTTTGACCATGAAACACATTTTTGTGACATGTTTGTTAACACTTCACAAAACCTAGTTTGGGAAAGGCTGAATTTAGCAAGCACTTTAGTGCTCCCTATATGCTGACGTCACCCAAATCTCTGTTTCTAGCCCTAACTTCTCCTGACCTCAAGACGTGACTATCCAATGACATTTGTATACAGATGCCCTGCAAACACCTCAAAAACAACTTGAAAAATGCCAAACCAGTAGCTCTTTCTATATTTCCTTTTGGCATCACCATCCCCTTGTCAGCCACACTAGAAATCTTAAAATCAACTCTGTTTCCTCTTTTTTCCCTACCCCTCACATGTACTCAGGCACCAACTTCTAGTAGTCCCACTTCAGAAGTGTCCCTCAGATCCATCCCTCCATTTCTGGAGTAAGTCACGCCCTTTCCATGTGTCACTTCTTTTTACCTAACCCTGGCTTCTGTGCCTGGCAAGTTGCCAGCCATGTTTAAATGTCACTCCTCCATTTCCCCCATCCCCCCACCCTGCAGCTGCCAACCTGAGCTTTTCCCAGCTCATCTGAGCAGAAGAACTCGTTCTTTCATCTCGTCCCCGAGCACTTTGTACATAACTTTATTATAGCACTTACCACTTTGTACTTTGTGCTTCCCTCCATAGCCTCAGCTCATGTCCTTCTCTCCTCTAGCCTGCGAGCCACTTAAGAGCAGGTGTCATGTGTGAGTCATCCTGTCTCCGCGCCCTTGATTAGCGCCTGGCACATAGTAGGGGTTCATGTTGTTTCAGTACATTTCAACAACTAAGAAAGTCAAAAATTAACACATTTCTTTTCTTTTTGTGCAGAGATTAGTGCTGAAGAGCAGCTAAGGCTCCTGCAAGAGGAGAAGCTTTGCAAAATCTGTATGGATAGAAATATTGCTGTGGTTTTCATTCCTTGTGGACATCTGGTCACTTGTAAACAATGTGCTGAAGCAGTTGACAAATGTCCCATGTGCTACACAGTCATTACTTTCAAGCAAAAAATTTTTATGTCTTAATCTAACTCTACAGTTAGGCGCATTATGTTCTTCTCATTACCCTGATTGAGTGTGTGATGTGAACTGACTTTAAGTAATCAGCATTGAATGCCATTAGCATTTGCTACCAAGTAGACAAAATGTAAACTACAGTGTTCTAGTTCGTAATCTAAAATTTGAATTTCAGGATTTTGGGGGATATTAGCTATGTTGTATATCTTCTTTTTTTTTTTTACCGTTATTTAATTGAAATCTAGACTAAGAAGCATATTGTAACTGATCACAATGTGTATTTGTAGTACACTAACTTAGTTTCTAAGTGTAAGTGAATTAATCAACTGAATTTTTCATTCTTTTCATATAGGCTTAACAAATGGAGCATTCTGTGTAAACGTGGAGATTAGTTAATCTCCCCAATCACATAATTTGTTTTGTGTGAAAAGGAATGAACTGTTCCACACTGGTGGAAAGATACAGATTATTTTTAGATGTTTGTCTTTGTGTTTTAGGATTTTGTCCATTCTCTTTTAAAATTATACACACGTGCTTGGGTGGGTGATTGTAAAAAATGATTTTGCCATTGTTAAAAGGGTATTTAAGGATAGAATACCATCTAGCCAACATGTACTGACATGGAAAGATGTCAAAGATATATTGAGTGTAAACTGAAGTGGCAAAACACTGTGTATAGAATGAGTCAGATGAAGGTGTGTGTGTTTTGTATATGTATAGAACAAAAGATTTGGACGGATAAAGCACCAAACTGTTAAATGTGGTTTCTCTTGGGTGGGGGCGGTAGGGCCCAGAGGGGGGTTGCAGGGGCCTTTCACTTTCTACTTTTTCATTTTGTTCTGTTTGGATTTTTTATAAGTATGTATTACTTTTGTAATCAGAATTTTTAGAAAGTATTTTACTGATTTAAAGGCTTAGGCATGTTCAAACGCCTGCAAAACTACTTATTGCTCAGCTTTAGTTTTTCTAATCCAAGAAGGCAGAGCAGTTAACCTTTTTGGTGCCAATGTGAAATTTAAATGTTTTTATGTTTTTCCTGCTTTGTGGATGAAAAATATTTCTGAGTGGTAGTTTTCTGACAGGTAGACCATGTCTTCTCTTGTTTCAAAATAAATATTCCTGATTTTGTAAAATGAAATATAAAATATGTCTCAGATCTTCCAATTAATTAGTAAGGATTCATCTTTAATCCTTGCTAGTTTAAGCCTGCCTAAGTCACTTTACTAAAAGATCTTTGTTAACCCAGTATTTTAACCATCTGTCAGCTTATGTAGGAAAAAGTAGAAGCATGTTTGTACACTGCTCGTAGTTTTAGGGACAGCTTTTCCATGTTGAGCTTCTCATATCATCTCGTATTTTAAAGTTTCGTGTGCGTTTTTACTGTTAGGATAATTAAGATGTATATAGGACAAAATGTCAAGTCTTTACCTAAATTGTTTTGTTTCCTTGACTGGTAATAGTAGTAGATGCTTCTGAAATAAATATTCTCTCAAGATCCTTAAAATCTCTTGGAAATTACAAAATATTGACAAGAAAACGAGAATACTTGTTTAAATATTAAAAAGAAAATAAAACTTGAATAAAAGTCAATAGAGATAAAAAATAAGTTTAGAAGTGCTTCATACAACACCCAGGGTTTGCTTTACAAGATTCTTAAACTGACCTGTCGTAGAGGTGAATGAGGCATTTTACTGCGGAGAAACGTTTGAGAGTGAAACTTAAAAATTCTATTTTCATCGTATTTTCTAAGAGAAAGTATTGTCAAGTTCTCATCACCTCTGTGGATGACTATTTTAAGTGACAGTCATTTAAAGCATTGCAAATTTAAATGAGAACTTTTTAAATTAAATAATGACTGCCCATGGGTCTTTGTTTTATCGTGTAAACTCGCAGCTCTTTACCTTTGCACTTCCACTTAGGTTTAATTAAATGTTCATTAAGTTAAATTTTACATATATAGTCTAAGCTTTGAATTTAAAGGGGAGAAAAGTGTTAAAGATTCTTAAATGTGTTTTCCAGAACACATCAGCTCCAAGTCAGGTAGTTAGTTCAATCTAGTTGTTGGCCAAGGACTGAATTGTTTTAACATAAGGCTTTTCCTGTTCTGGGAGCCTCAGTTCATTAAAACTCCTCTTTTAAAACTTGTATGTTTAGAGTTAAGAAAGACCTTTTCTCTCCCCATGAGTTGTGAAATGTAATGCATGAAGCTGATGTGGCTAACAAGTTTATTTTAAGAATTGTTTAGAAATGCTGTTGCTTCAGGTTCTGAAATCACTCAGCACTCCAACTTCTAATCACATTTTTTTTTAAGACTTACCAATGTTTGTCTGTGTTCTCACTATAAAAAGCACTGGATCCCTTCCATCTAGTTGTGCAAAAAATGATTACTTGCAAGGTCAAAAATATAACGAGATCCAAATCTGCGCCTCCCCCTTTCCCAGAATAGTTCTCCGTATCTACATGTAGACATTCCTTTTCTGTTAGAAAGTTCACTCTAAAGATTTTGAAGTCACCACCTATTTTACTACATTTTAGTTCATGCGAAGAGTCAGGTTGTTTGGTACTAAGTAGTTCTCTTTATTCATAATAATTTGGTGTGCTGATCAAAAGCCTTGTTTTAATTTTTGAAAAATGGGTTTCATGTTTATAAAGTAAACTCCAGTATATTAATTAACGGCTTTGTATTGCCTTTCCTGCTAGGTTCGTTCTTAGTTGTTTTTTTTCCCCTTTGGTTAAGGGCTAAGATGGGGTAGCGTGGGTGTGATGGGTGTATATAATGTGATTTGGCCCTGCGTAACTATGATCTTTTGTTTTTGTGGTTATATTATTTAAATTTTGGTAGGTTTTTTTTTTCCTGTTTTGAGTGGATAAAACTGGTGTTTTGAACTCTCTGAATGGAGACTACCACCACAGCATTAGGGGCGTGTATTGTACTCTTTAAGCCCAAATCATTGTTTTATTTCCTGATTCCCCAGGGGATGAATATGAGGGGAAAGGGTGGGGGAGTGGGAGAAATGGGGTAGGTTTTTCATTTCCATTAGAGAAATAAGAAAACAGGAGGGGATAGTTGACAGATGTAGTTATTTTTAGCCAAGTCTGTTTTAAAAAAGAGAGCTGTTTCTTCATCTCTGACATAAGAGTAATACCTATCTTACAACATCAGGAGAGTTCAGGGAGACCCTGGATGTCACATACTTGCTACAGATGTTCATTCCCTTCCCAGCACACTCTCTCACCCTCCAGGGGTTTGCCTTGACTCTGGAAATTTGGGCTAAAACTTAGATGATAACTCTTTCAGTGACTCTTACTCATCTTTTTTGGAGTTTCTCATAGTTAAGATGTAAATTATAATAAATAGGTCAGGTCCTTAAAAATATTTAAGTTCTGTTTTAAAAAATCTGGAAAAAAAAAAACTTCTTATCGAATTCGGGTGAGCTTTCCTAATAGGAACAGTTGGCTTATTCCCACTTTCATTATCAGTGTCAATTTGACTCTTAATCACTTAGCACAATGTGAATTTCACTAGCGGCATACTAGAATCCTAGAGTGTCGGAGCTAGAAGTGACCTTAGTATCTGATTCTTCCCCCTCATTTTACAGGTGAGACAACTGAGGCTCAAAGGTGAAGTGATTTATTCAAAGCTATCTAGCTAATTAGTGGCGGCCCAGACTGGGACATAGTTTGAAGGTGAAAAACTTCAAGTTACCTCTCCTGGGAGGTCTCAAATGTTTATTTTTTCAACTATTCTTTCTTTTATACCATAACTTTCACTACATATTAAATGACACTTTATGACTAATACAATAGGACAATCTTAAATACATATATCTTCAAATTGTACAATACTACATTAATATTTTGGGTGGTAAGATTGTATTTTGAAGACTAAAGTTTGCAAATATGCAGAGGTTTTTTTGACATTTCCTACATTCTTATTGTGTATCATTAATACAACATTTAAAATTACTATATAAGTATATTTTGTCATTTTCTCTATACTTAGTAACAAATTTGCATTTTCGATTTGATGTACTAAAGGCTTTAATGTAATTTTTGTTAGAAGATTTTGCATTTTTTCATTACTGTTATATTTAATCTGACAGAATGACGGATTCTTATGTCATTGTATTAGTGTTGTGAATAATCGTGAAATGTTTTCAGATAGAGTGCTATATTTGTGAATATAATTTTATGACGTTTTTCATTTAGTAGAAACCTTTCCATCACTATGGAAAACAAAGAAAATTGCTTTCCACTGTACAATCTGGCAGTCATCATAGATTAAAGCTTATTTTTCTGTGAATAAAACTTATTCAATAAAGTACTATTCTTTAAAATGATATCTTACTACTTTGTATTTATTTTACTTTCTCAGAAAAAATAAAATAGCCCTCGTAAAAATACTAAAATGAAACCTAAATATATTTTCTGCCATTGGGCCAGGCATTAAGGTACACATCAAGTCATGTCCTGTTAAAAGAAAAAAGACATCTGTTTTCATTTTTTTTAAAGATTTTATTTATTTGAGAGAGAAAATGAGATAGAGCATGAGAAGGGGGGGGTCAGAGGGAGAAGCAGACTCCCCGCCGAGCAGGGAGCCTGATGCGGGACTCGATCCCGTGACTCCAGGATCATGACTGAGCCGAAGGCAGTCGCCCAACCAACTGTGCCACCCAGGCACCCTGTTTTCATATTAATTTGTAGAATTCTGTAAGTGCATGAAAAACCTGTTTTTAAAATGTATAAAAATATGACCTATAATAACACCCTCTCCCGACAAAGATTGGCCCGTTTCTCCCAAGAGATAATATGGTCACTGTAACAAATCTTGAGCAAGCCATTTAAATGCAGTCTACCTTTCTTAACATGTCAACTACACTTTCAGTGAATATTGAGAAAGATGTGAATTTTCAAAGCTTTTTCTTAAAGTTCAAGCCCCAGAGAGGGCACCAAAAAAAATTTTTTAAAAAGCTTTCTCTTATGGAAGTTTTCAAACTTACACAAAAGTAGAAAGGAAAGTAGAGCTAACCCCATGATATTCCTCATTCAGCTTCAATAAATAACATTTAGCCCATCTTGTTTCATCTGGGATTTCCCCCCTTCCCTCCCCTTTTTTGCTTGCATATTCTAGAACAAATCCTAGGCATTGTGTCATTTCTTCTGTAATTACCCTGTTATGTACCTATACCAGATTAGAACACTTTTTTTACAAAAATTGAATTTTTAACTCGCTTCTGTTGCTGAATTTTAATGGACATCTGAATAAGAATTAAAGTCAACTATTTGAAGATTAGGGTAAATAAACCTCCTCAAAACTGGTATTTAAAAATACTTTCAAACTATGTTCTTGGGGTGCCCTGGCTGGCTCAGTCAGTACAGCATGCGACTCTTGATCTTGGAGTTGAGTTCGAGCCCCATGTTGGGTGTAGAGATTACTTAAAATCTTAAAAAAAAAAAATGAAAAAAACCTATGTATTCACTATGTCATTTGTAGTTTGTTTATAGATTATAGAACAAATGTGTTACTTATTATTTTTTTAATTATTTTTTTTAAGATTTTTTTATTTGAGAGAGAGAGAATGCGAGATAGCACGAGAGGGAAGAGGGTCAGAGGGAGAAGCAGACTCCCCGCTGAGCAGGGAGCCCGATGTGGGACTCGATCCCGGGACTCCAGGATCATGACCTGAGCCGAAGGCAGTCGCTTAACCAACTGAGCCACCCAGGCGTCCCAAAATGTGGTACTTACTAAAAGTTAGTAGGCTAACCTGGCTGAGTCAGTCGGTAGAGCATGTGACTCTTGATTTTGAGGTCCTGAATTCAAGCCTCACATTGGACACAGCGTTTACTTAATTTAAAAAAGGGGGCACCTGGGTGGCTCATTCGGTTAAGCGTCTTCGGCTCAGTTCATTATCTCATGGTCCTAGGATCAAACCCCACTTAGGGCTCTGCCCTCAGCAGGGTGTCTGCTTCCTCTCCCTTTGCCCCTCCTCCCTGCTCATTTTCTCTCTCTCTCTCAAATAAATAAAATCTAAAAAATATATATGAGTAGGCTAACTGCATGGTGAATGGATACCTTGTTCTCAAAGTGTGGTCCTGGGACCCCAGCAGCATCTGCATCAGCTAGGAACTTAGAAATGCAAATTATTGGGCCCCATCTCAAACCTACTGAATCAGAAACTCTGGGGCTTAACGCAGCAATCTGTTTTAACAGACCCTCTAAGTGGTTCTGATGCAGGCTAAAGTTTGAAAACCCCTGGGACATGGTAAAGGGTCTGAATCCAGAAAGAACTAAATGGCTGAAACCTATAAATTAAACTGATAAGCTCCCTGCAAATGACTGTCATCCTCACCTTTCTTTTCCTTATAACGTATTGCTGATCCAGTCCTGTATTTTCTCCTGTTATCAAAACACAAAGACATAAAATACAACATCCTGAGAGTCCCTTCTGATTCTACTTTTCAACAAAACTTTCTTGCATAGAGTACCCTTTGAATTTTTTTTAAAGTTTCTTTTGTTTTTGTTTTTTTTTTTAAGATTTTATTTATTTGACAGAGAGAGACACAGTGAGAGAGGGAACACAAGCAGGCGGAGTGGGAGAGGGAGAAGCAGGCCTCCTGCAGAGCAGGGAGCCCGATGTGGGACTCGATCCCAGGACCCTGGGATCATGACCTGAGCCAGAGGCAGACGCTTAACGACTGAGCCACCCAGGCGCCCCGACCCTTTGAATTTTTATGAGTATAAATCTTTAGCCCTTTCACTGCTAAATTCATAATAGCCCCACATTGCCCATGCCATTAAACTAACCTCCAGTCAAGCAATGAAAGAGTTAAATATTTGAAGATGCACTCACAAGCGCTAGCGTGACAGGAATCAGTTGAAATTGTACAGAACAGATCTGCACTTCTAGAAAGAGCCAAAGCTTCAGTGAAATGTGAGGAGTCAATCTACAATGATAGAATGTAAGAGTTGGAAGCCTCTGTAATTCATAATAAATAGCAGCTCAATTCTTTTTTCCTGTAGTGGTGTCAGGTCTCTAAAGGCCTTCAGAGTTGCAAAAATCCACACTTACCAATCACTATAGGTCTCTTTAACTGTAACCAAAATTAAAATCTTAAAGCTAGATTAAAGTCGGTGATTTTCTTTTCTGTTCTATTCCTGCAAACCACTAATTTGCTTATAGCAAATACTTACATAAACTGGCCATTGGGCTTTGAATAGATTTGGTCTGCTGACAGGTTTTTTTTTCCCCCCAATCTTACTCTGTTTAATTTGAGATTTCCAAGACCATATATTCACCATAATTAATGACAACAGCATAAAAAATATTTTGTATGGGCCGATACTTGTTAACTTTAGCTTAGGAATAAATATTGGAAGGATACTCATTCAAAACAAATAAGGAATAAAAATCCAAGAGAAACCAAACTTTGATCATTATTTTCCCCTGTCAGTTTCCCAGAGGAATTTAAATTTGGAGAAAAAAAAACCACAACTAGAGTATAATTAATTGAGGTAAGGGTATTTAAGCAATGATCCTGCTTCAAAGTCTAATTTTTGTTTCGATAAACTTTACTAAAGATATATTTTACAGGGGCACCTGGCTGGCTCAGTCAGAAGAACATGTTACTCTTGATATCGGGACCATGATTTGGAGCCCTACACTGGATGTGGAGATCACTTAAATAAAACAAACAAAAAGATACATTTTGGTGGGCACCTGTGTGGTTCAGTTGGTTAAACGTCTGCCTTCAGCTCAGGTCATGATCCCAGGGTCCTGGGATGGAGCCCCGCATCGGGCTCCCGGCTCAGCGGGAAGCCTGCTTCTTCCTCTCCCTCTGCCGCTCCGCCAGCTTGTGCGCTCTGTCAGATAAATAAATAAAATCTTTTTTTAAAAAAGGATATGTATTTTAAAAAGATATATTTTACGGTAGTCTCCCCTTATCTAGTTCCCTTTCCAGGGTTTCAGTTACCTGTGGTCAACGGTGGTCCCGAAACAGGATTCTCTTTCTGATGATCGTCAGAAGGTCGGTAGTTACGTCACCACGCTGACGTCATTCCCCTCACGTTGTCTCATCACGTAGACCTGCTATCATCTCCCATCCTCACAAGAAGGGTGAGTACAGTACAATAAGATATTTTGAGGGAGACCACGTTCACATAACTTTCATTACAGTATATTATAATTGTTCTACTTTATCATTGTTAATTTCTTACTGTGCCTAGATTATAAATTAAACTTTATCATAGGTATGTAGCTATAGGAGAAAACATAGCCTATATAGGGTTTGGTACTATCCACGGTTTCAAGCATCCACTGGGGGTCTTGGAACATATCCCACACAGATAAGGGGGGACTGCTGTCCATACAAAATTCTAGATGTCCACTTGTTACATAAACTTTTGAGAGTTATTTTTAAGTCTGTGCATTGTATTTCTTTAATTTTTTCCATGACCAGGGACTAGGGATTTCTTTTTAATTACATTAGCTTATGCAAGGGGCTTTGCATTTTTGGCTAAAGCATCAAAAATGTATTTTCTCATTAAATACTGGAATTTTGTTTGGCAATGATTAGGCTCTGCTTCTGCCAGATTACTGACAACCGTATTGAGGAAAACAGAACACATGAGTATGTTCATGAACAGTTACTGATGTTTCAGAGGAACTTATTTTTTTCCCCCAGAGGAACTTATATTTAAAGCAAAAATATCCCAATTCTCCCCCCATTAAATTAATCTGAAATGGAGAAAAACTTACTAAACATCATTTTATTTTTCATTAAAGAAACATTGTGCATGGATTTCCTAGTAGAAATTTAACAAAGACCTGTTAATCATTAAGAGAATGACCTAACTTGTCTGGAAAAACCTGTTTTTCTTTCAACTAGGTTTTGTTTGTTTGTTTGTTTGTCATTTGATTATTAACAAGAATGTACTCTACTTATACCTTTCTTGGTTTCCCACTATAAACTTTTTGTAGACATTATATTCTTATGTGATATATAAGGATTAAGTAAAAAGACCTATGCTAAGTACAAGTTCTAAAGCAAGATTTGGTTAGTTATACAAAATAAAATGTAACAAAAATATTAATACATGGGGATAAGAATCCCCCCTCCACCTACCTCGGAGGATCGGAGGATCGGAGGATTGGAGGATCGGAGGACCGTTGCAAGGATCACATGAATAAATGCACATGAAAGACCTTCAAAAAGTGTAAACCTTCTATATAAGCCCAAGCAATCACTCCTCTAATTAGAGTTTACTGCACTAATTATGGGTTAGTTTTACACAGAATGAAACAGTTCTGGAGCCAGTATCTGATTAATCGGGGATATAC